TATAGCGCTCTAATTTTTGACACGAAACGTAAAAAATAAGGCGCCTCAGCATCTAAATAAATTGCAGACGTTCAGGCATATTATAAGATGCCTGGTGTGTTTCTTTTACTGTAAAAAGTCAACTGAAATAGATTAATGTAACACTTTCTTGTTGAATGTAGTAACGTACCCAAGAGCTTAAAAAAAATGACGAACGGGCGTTCTGACCCCGTATAAAGTTTTGATACGGGGTCCAGACCCCATACTGAGGCTGATTTATTTACATTCTACTCGTTCCCTTGTGGAAGAGTACGGGCGTACTTTTAGCCGTTCAGTTACTCCCCGTATAACTACGCGTTCTGCATCGAAGAAATACGGGGTCATGAAAAATGATTTCTTATGCCTTCGAAGCGCCGCGTGGTTACCTGTTCTACTCTTAGACGCCTTGAGGTGGAAATTTAACCTTTTGTGTATGTTCTACAGTCGGGGATGTCTCAAGATGATCTCCGGGAAATGTTTCAATTTCTATGCATTTTCGATCTGAATTAGATGCAAAGGCTTTCTACCAAAGACACAGTGCTTCACACGAAAAACTTACTCGGACTCAGGTGTTACTCTCAACAATAACATTCAAATACAAAATATGGATAATAAATAGCTTTTAGATGAAAAGTTTGAAGAAATGAATCTGTACCAATACGGAACTCGAACAACGTCGAATAATAGAAACTCAACTGAGTTCGAAGTTTCGTAGAAGTTCTTCAATTTTGGAACTGAACCTACAGGCAAAAGAGCAACGAAAATCAGAAATTACTTTCATTCGAGCCTCCAAGTCACTATTACTGAAAATAAAAAGCTATTTTACAGTACAATAGCTTTTTATGTTACGGAGTAAAATTTTTACTCCGAGCAAAATGAAAGATTTCTGCAGACAAGAGTAATAAGCAGTTGCTCGGGACCTAGAATTAAAAAGCAAGCAAACAGAAAAGAATGCTTCAATAGGCTATCGATGCTCGAAACACTTACTAATGATACAGATCATCTTTCGAGCATCTTTAGCTCAACCTGTTCTATGCTTGCTTCTTAATTCTAGGTACTCACGTTCGAATCATCGTCACAGCAGAGTAAGTTATTTTAGTTTCTTTCTTCCTTAACTTGTGAACCTTGACTTTACGACAGTCGTGGACGGCCGTGTGAGAGCATGGAGACTCTTTGTACACGTCAGCTCGATTCTAAATTCAAATTTAAAAACTTAACGCGTTTCTACCACAAAAATGATGTACAAGTTTTTCGAACAGAAAATGACTGCCTAGATACATACACAAAAGTTAATTTTACCTATCAAAGCGTCTAAAAGTAGAACAGGTAACCACGCGGCGCTTCGAAGGCATAAGAAATCATTTTTCATGACCCGTATTTCTTCGCTGCCGAACGTGTAGCTATACGGGATACCCGTATTTTTGAACCGTTCAGACCCCGTGGCAAATGAGAGGCGGACCCGTCCAATGAGAAATATTACGGGCCGTTTTTTTAATTTTCAGACCTCGTCTCTTTACCCGTTTTTACGCTCTTGAGTAGCGGTATTTCCATTCAACAACGTGATATCAAAAGTTTATTCGGTATAAAAGTCTTCTAAATTCCTGGAATAGAAATTCTTTTATCTCTAATATCTTTGCTCTATTCTGTAGTTGTGCATTTTTCTGCTCCTTATGGGTCTGTAATGATTGTTCAGAGTGCCTGACCAGAATGATTTCAAACTCCAACGTTTGCAAATTATTTATTATCTAAATGATGCAGAAATCGTTAACAAGTTCTTATCATAGTAGGTTGACTCCGATAGTTTGACTTATTTACAAATAAAGGATTTGTCATCACATAGCTGCTCAGAACCCTTGTGCTCATGCCACTAATTATTTCATTCAAGTTCAGCACTTTCAGCGTGCATAGTACTTTAAAAGATACACCGACTCTTCCGCGCACGACTTTTCTGCCAACTTTTTCCACGAATTCAGTTCGTGGAACAGTCGTTTCGCTGAAAAGTCGATTCGGGGAAGAGTCGTGTTACGACTTTAAAAACATCACAATGAAATGTTTCACAATGAAAAAGCCCTCCTACTCTATTACAAGCTTAATAATCACTTTGGATGGTGCTGAGCCACTATTACCTGTTTTTGTTCGCATGTTTAAAGTGTTTACAAAGGAATCGTTACGGTGAGAGAAACCAAACTGAAACATTATTCACCAATATTAGTCGATATCTGACACAACTGGTTCAATTACCATTGAAAATATTAATCCAGCATCTCCAGAGACGGCCGCTCTTACCAATCACAAATATTCCAAGATCCGACATGTTTACTTTTTATGGATATCTCAACAAATTCCTCACCAATCCGCTAAATGTAAGAAAACGTACAAAATGAGCCTAAATGACATGAGAATTGCTCGTTGAGTTATCACGCACTTTCTACCACTACCTACAAAACCTTGAAACGGTGTAAAACCTATACCACATGAGTGTACAAAGTAGGCACTTAAAATTTGTATAGCACTAACATTCAAAATAAATGCAGCTTATTTGTTCTCCGAGGTTCCCAAAATGTTCAAATAATGGAGGAAAGATATTATTATGTTCTTAGACAAAGAACTTCTTCTTCAATCAAAAAATTAATGGAAATTCTTAATATAACAGACGTTGAAACAAAATTGATCCATATTCAACTTCCTGCAATGAATCATAATCAAGACAAGCAGCCATAATCTTTTCTTCTCTGTCCAAAAACGTTATACAGATCTGTTCTATCTAGAAAAGAAATTTCGTCATACAATGTTTGTCCTATTCTACAGTTTATATATTTCTTTTTCCTTCATATGATGAAAGAATGTTCTGTATTTTTTCTGCGTCCAAAAACATGATCAACAGCACAAATTCGACAATGTCACATCAATTTATTATTAACTTATTTGCTACATATTATTATCATTCTTTATAACATATATCTCATAAAATAACATATGAAACAACATATGTACACGATTTGTACTATAGAAAAAAACTTTTATGCGGTTAGATAGCCATATTTCAGAATATATTAGGTGGTCGTCAAATCTTGAAAAAGAGCATTTCTAAAATTTCACCTAATGTCCATGTGGTTGCCCACTGTGTAATGATAGCATAAGTAATCATGCTTATTGGTTGGCTTGCGTACTAAATATTATACCATAAATAGTATTAACATTTAATTGAATGATCACCAAACATGTTGTTGCAGATTGATTCTGAACAAAAAGGAGGCAACTATAATATAAAATCAACGGCAAAACTACCTGTTTGGATGGCGAATCATGTGAAAAAGAGTTATTTTCTGACCCATCTTTGTCTCTAACTTTCTGCGAAATGCTGTTTCAATTCAAAATTACTATTAAAAATTGATACTTTTCCAAAAGTAAAACAGAATATGCCCCTTACTTAATTAAAAAATTTTGAAACGCTTATTATTGAGCTAAAGGATTTGTTTATGAAGTTATTATTCCAGTACATTCACTAAGAGCAAGTTTAGCTTTCTCCACCTATTTATCTTCTTTCAACTCTGCTGTTGTCCAGATATTTCGATCCACTATCGATGATCGATAATAATGCAATAACAAAATAATCAATTTTCTTGTACGATCTGTTACACCTGAATTACTATCAGTTGGTACGATTTTCACTGCTCAAAAATGATCTCAATTGGCACTTCCAATTATCCAAGCAAAGTAACGAAAATAACAGCATGTATAAAGACCAGCGCCACAACTAGATTCTTATCGATAGCCGGATGGAATGAGGAAACTTTTTGCTGTTTATGCAATACGATTTGATTAATTTTGACTGACTTTCATTGATCTTTGTAAGGTTTCCTCAAAGATTATCAGAGAAAAAAAAACGAAAACTGACAAGAAAAGCGGATGGCAGAGGACTGCGAATACTGCAAAAAATAGACAGTAAATATTATGCAACATTTTATTAGCCAACTTACGCTTCGCCCGGTTGTTTTCTGATTAACAAAATGCGATACATTGATTCAACAATCAATGAAGTATAACCATCTGAAAATGCTGGTTGCTCCGTAAGAAATTAAAAAATAAAATGTACATCAAAATGTAATGCCGGGTTGTCGTCACTATCAAGATAGAAGATTCAGATAAATGAACAGAAAACTGATTTGAAAAATATACTTTGTCAATTGTTTGGTTATTATATGAGTTAATTAACAATTCTAGTATAGCCGTATGTACATTAAGAAAAGCTGCATCTTCACTATCTTAAGTTGTGTTTGTTCTGTATAATATTCAAATAAACTAAATGTGATCTGGAATGTTAGAACGACAAACGATAGTTTTTTAAAAAAGAATAACAACTACTTAATAGTTATTGTTATGATACTAATTATGAACATCCTTTATCTCAGGTATCTAGAACAGAAAAAGAAAACTCAGATAATGTTGAGCAAGAAGACAAATAAGAGTAAAGTGCTGCCGAAAAACCGAAATATATCACGCAGAACAGGCGGGCTAGAAGCTCAAGATGGCTCCATTGCTGATATTTCGAAGGAGTCATATGTTTTTCGCAATGTTGAGAGTACCGAACTACTAAGTGTGGTTTTGAATTATTACACTAGAAATCACATTTTCGGCGGTCTCCAAAGGCATTATCCAGAAGTAACCTGGTCTATACGCAATTGATATTTAGCATCTTTTCCTGCGAAAGTTCGATGACAGAAAGAATAAAGTGAGAAAGTACAGTATAGCAGAAAACCTTGAAATCTGCCAGATCTAGTGGCCAGATAGGTTACGGGTAAAAAATAGAATTACCTACAAGATACTGTAAGCAAAAGCTAAGAAATATCAGTTAATAAACTGCTAAAATTCTTTACAGAAGCAAAAAGTACCAAAATATCACAACTAAAGGAAGTGTAACAAACCAACCCAAAAACATGTGACTAGAAACTCGCACATTCATGAACAGTAACAAAAATTATTTATTTCCACTCTTGAATGTTTGTTTCGACTAATGATTTAAATAAATTTGAATATAATGGCAATGCTTGATTGAGTGCAGTCGCTACTAGTCGTTTTTCACCTTGTTTATTGTAATAAATATCGCTTGGTGTAACTCCCGTATGTATACAGACTAATCGACCCATTTTATTGACGAGAACACCACCACTAGCACCTTTGAGTGACGGACAATCATGGCGAATAAAATTATCGTCAATTGTCAAACATTTACCCAATGATACGCTTAAATGTTCCGGATGCATTGCTGTTATTAAATTTTCACGTGTATATTTGGTACTGTGCGAGCAACCTTCATAAAAGTTAATGTCTTCGTTCTTATTTAATAACGAACAGTATGACAATAAAAATAATGGAGAATCAATTTGGATTTGTTCTTTTCCAGTTATTCGACGAGGATAATTTTGATAGATTTCGGAGAATAGCTGTTGACTAACATTTTCAATATGACAAATTCGTAGAATTGCAAAATCATCATCACGTGAACATATATCCAATGGTTTTAGCCCATTCGAACCACGCACAATCATTTCAGCTTCGAATATATCTTCATCATGGTCCGACATAAACCAAGAGACCGAAGCTAATGTCGTTGTCGTAAACATTATTCGAGAATAAGGTACAATCTCGTTCTGTTCATCTAATTCAATCGGATTAAACAGATGTGCAACAGTTATGACGCATTCACCAATAATCATACCAGATCCAGTTATAAGACTTCTAACGGCGCCATGCTCATACCTGACACCTATTCGAACAGCAAATTTAGCCAACTGTTCTAATTGTTCTTTGGGAACTGAATCAAGAATCTTCTTCAATGAAGGTGCCAATTTCTACCTCGACCATTTTGTGCACATATTACCTCTATATTTTCTTTTAACTTGCCGGTTCCGTTATCATGAAACGCTCATTCGTACGCTGTTTGATGTTTATCTCGTGCTTTCTTGTCTTTCTGTAACTGTTCTTTCAGATCTATCTCTTCTTCAGAGGAATTGTTACTCACGTTCTACAAACAAACAAATGTGTGAATTAGATCTACTGATCTTTATGAATTATGCCCAAATTACCCGCGAAAAGATAGGAAGGAAACGTCCATAAACACATACCATAAACAGGACTTTTATAGGACGTTAGTCATACAGACTCTTCCTAACTTTTGATCTACTTATCGCATGCTCCACTCACTTACCAAAACATCATAATTTACGTTTGTCTCTTCCATTTGTTACAGTGATGATATTGCTGGATTACGATAAAACTTGATGAGTAAATGTTAATCGTTTCCAGCGTCACGAAGTCAAATTTTGATTAATTGAATCAATTTCGTTGTTACTCGTTCTAAATTTTATACGAAACTAAATAACTTTGAGCAAGGAAGCGGAACAAATAAAAGAAATAAGGCACATCGTTGTCACACGTAAAATTATTTACAAAAGTGAGCTCTTTAGACCTGATGTCGTCGTAGAAATGATTTATCGCTAACACGTCAAGCAATCTAAGTCTACACATGTACCTGTTTTGGTCGACCGATGAAATTTCAAGATCTCCTGTAAATCTATCAGTTCTTTTACTCAATAGACTTTTTATTTCATCTGTCTTTTCTTTAACTTCACGTCCTTTCTGATTTTCAATGTTATCAATAACCGCCAATTTAAACTTTAATTTCACCCTCACTTAGCCAAGGATGGGCCATCCCAGGTTGACTGTCATGCTGAAGTCGCGGCGCGCCTCGCGATAAAAATTCGCGCCGCGAACGCGCTACGCGATCGCTAAGATTCACAATGCGTACTTTTATCTCATGCTTCTCTTTAGTTTAGCAGTCTGCTCTTAGGTAAGGGAAAATGGGATTAATTCGTATAATGGTCGACTAAAACTTCGCTGTTTTCCCAAATTTATCGTTGGTTCAGTCAAGAACAGGACCAATTGACAGTTATTACACTGCGTAGCTTGTGTACCGGCTAAACGAACGATAAATTTGGGAAAACAGCGAAGTTTTAATCGACCATTATACGAATTAATTCCATTTTCCGTTACCTAAGAGCAAACTCCTAAAATAAAGAGAAGCATAAGGTAAAAGTATGCATTGTGAATCCTAGTGTTGTTATAACTGGATCAAACGTTAACAAGTATATTTTTCTTTCATAAAAAGTTTAGAATGGGTTTCTGATATTATTACCTATCTGGCTATCGCTGCATCATGTTTTACTCGGACTTTTCTTCGAGAACATGATGCACTCACTTTTTGAAATTTACATCGATCCTACGATGCCTTCAGTACGCCACAATTTCTGTCTAAAATGGTAAAAGACATTTTAGCTGAAGAACTTATACCGGTTCAAAGTGAATGCACAGCAATTTTGAAGGTCTAGTCCCTCGTTTAAATCCTTGTGGTGTATTTCTGTTGCGATCGTGAACTATTTTTACCACGGGCGAGACGACGCTCGTGCCCATGGCTTTACTCTATTTCTAGAAAGTTAATAGTGAACTGTGATAACTTTAGTGAAAGAAATTTTCATCTCAGATGAAGTTTTCTGT